ATGGATTAAAACAGGCTTCGAGGTAATGGATTATGGAATTCTCAGAGAAATTGGTGAGCTATGGTTTTATCCAGTCCCCACAATGTTTTTCAAAAGAACACAGCAGCAAGTGATGATCCTCCTCATTTATGTGGATGATGTACTTATAACTGGGACTTCTTCTTCTCATATTCAACACCTCAAGAGTTATTTGAATGATTTGTTCACCATCAAAGACCTTGGTCATGCTAAATATTTTCTGGGTTTGGAGATCTTCAGAACAACTGAAGGAACTTACTTGAGTCAGAGAAAATACATACTTGATATTGTGCATGATTTAAAGTTGGAGGCAGCAAGATCCATGGTTACTCCATTATCTCAAGGAGTCAATCTTTCTACCTCAAAATCACCTTCTCACTCTGATGTTGAAGCTTACAGAAGACTAATTGGCCGTATGCTTTACCTGAATTTATCAAGGGCTGATATATCCTATGCCATCCAACAGCTCAGTCAATTTGTGCAGGCCCCAACACAAGAATACTGGCAGTTGCACTTTATCTAGTCAAATATCTCAAAGGTAATCCTGCTTTGGGACTTTTTTTATGCAGCTCTAAGGTCTCTACACATTTGGAAGGGTTTTGTGATGCTGATTGGGGGAGCTGTGCCCTCACTCGAAAATCCCTTAGTGGCTACTGCATTTTCCTGGGACAAGCTCCCATTTCTTGGAAAACGAAAAAGCAGAAAACGGTGTCTAGATCATCTGTCGAGGCGGAATACAGGTGCATGGCCACGAATGTTTTCGAGCTGCAGTGGCTTTCCTACTTGGCCAATGATCTTGGGTTGGAGCTTCATCTTCCCATCCCATTATGGTGTGACAACAATGCGGCCTTGCATGTTGCAGCAAACTCCGTGTTCCACGAGCGCACTAAGCATCTAGATATTGACTGCACGTGGTGAGGAACAAATACAAAGAAGGTTTTGTGCTGCCCTGTCACATTGCTTCTTCACTTCAACCGGCTGACATTTTCACCAAGTCCCTTGGCGGTGTTAACTTTCGCCGGTTTCTGTTCAAGCTTGGAATGTGTGTCAACCCTCACATTCCAGCTTGAGGGGGGGTGTTGAGCTGTTAAAGATGTACAAGCTGTTGCCATGCACCTGAACGTCTTGAAGAAAACTTGAAGTCGTTTTTCTTTATTTTCCCTGTTATTTCTCTGCTGTTTTTATTATTAGTGTCATTTACTAATAGACTCACATTAGCATTTTCATTTCTTTTATCTGATTTCTGATCCGCTACGTGTCAAGCGGTGATTGGTTAGGGCTATTTTGTTTACATGCACGTATTTGTACCTTTCTCTCCCACATGAGATATGTGTGAAATTCAGATGTTTTCAGAGAGCTTGATGCTCCGTTAATGGGAGAAAATCGTTCCAAAAATTTATTTTCCATTTCCTAAGATTTTACTCAAATCTACAAAAGACAATTAGGATTTTTGTGTAATTTGGCTATACTGCATGGGTGCACCTTCATGTTATGGAAGTTTGTGTTGAAAAGTTCCTCTTCTATAGGTAAATAAAGGAACATCAAGTTCTAGTGAAATTTTAGCTGGAGCACTGAAGGACAACAATCGTGCCGTTGTACTTGGAGAACCTACTTATGGAAAAGGGTGACTTCTCTAATGTACCATTTTCTTTATGCCTTGTAAAAATCATACTTAAAAATGTTGATCGATATCTCCATTTTTGTGTTATTTATTCTGCAGCAAGATACAATCAGTTTTCGAGCTGTCTGATGGCTCTGGATTGGCTGTAACTGTTGATCGATATCTCCATCATTTTTGTGTTATTTATTCTGCAGCAAGATACAATCAGTCTTCTTATGTTATTAACTTGTTTTGCACTTTCTCTACGAAAAGGTTGGCATAATTCCCGACCATCCTCTGCCAGTTTCATTTCCGAAAGATGAAGAAAGTTTGTGTGGTTGCCTTCTGGACCGTACATCTGCTTGCTACCTAAACAGTGCCGAATTATTCTCCAGATGATACTTCAAGAAGCAATTTCTTTCTATGGATTCTTTTATTCTTATTGACATTCTGGATGAGGTTGAAGTTGGAGGCAAGAATTTGGTTTCGAATGTGCGAGGGAAATGTCCTTTGGTCACCTTGTAAACCTTTTTGGAAAGATAACTCGAGTGGTAATCCGCAGTGTTCAATGATCTTTATTTTGGTTTATGCACGGTTTTTTGCTGTCTTGCTTGTATATTAACTATTGTATACTAGTACAGCGCCTGTGCATTACATGTGTGCTTGTTAAAAAAATTATTCTTAAATTTTAAAATTAATGAGAAAACTATATTAAATTTAGTTTACTTTTTTACAAAAAAAATATATTACTATATATTTTAGAATAATATGTGTTACTTATGACTTACATGTGTTATATTATATTAGTTTTTATAACTTGTATCATATAACTACTTGAAATGTAAATATATTAGTTGATAAATAATTTTATTTTTCTAATTAATATTAAAAATAATTTTATTATTGTTATAAAGATAAATATAAATTATTTTTTTTATACATACAATATGGATGTTAAATCGAAACTCATTAAAAGAAGATTAATTTGATATATTATATATGTAAAACTGATAAAAATTACAAAAGTTATTAACTTTTAAAATATATATATACAATTCAATAGTTATAATAAGGAATGATATTAAAATACAATTAATACATGTAACATGACCATAAATAATCAACATATTTATGGTAATTCGAACTTAATTATTTTTAATTTGAAATTAAATTAAAATTTACCCAAGCCTAATAACGAAGCATGTAATTTTGCCACATAGGATTCTGAAGCACCAGAAGCAGTCACGTAGGCTCAACGCGTTCTGTATTAATATATAGGGAGGGGATAGGGGGGATTTGGTTGTCATAAAACTATTTTGGAGTTGTTTCTCATTTGTTAAAGTTTTTAATATTATTATGTTTGAGCATTTGTAGAGTTTTTTTTTGTAGTTTT